TTATGTCGGGAAGCTGGCTTTAGTATAATCCGGCATTCCCTTTATTATTTACAACACAAGGAATTTTTTGATGACCCTTAACAAGAATATGGACGTGCTAGTATCGGAACTATTTCTTGCACGTTTATTTGCCAAAATGGCTTCAACGGCTCGGCGCCAGTGAGGGTATGCTGCGAATGCCGTATTATACTAAAACCAGCCTTTTGACATAAGCTACTATTCCATACGAGTGGGGCACGTTGCAGTACTGTAGTAATTCGACACCTTCCTCACCAACAGCTCTGTCCTCTATGAGCTTCTTAATGTAACTGCATATAAAAGATGGAAATTTAAGAAAAATTACTATCACAGCGTTTCACTTGTAGCGTTTCACTCTTGTAGTATATTGGCTATCAAGCACCAGAAAATTTCCATCACGCATTCCATATGCCACCGATTGTCGTGGATCAATTAAAATACTGTCATCACAGCTTTTTGGTACTCCAGCAACTGGTGTGTCTATGGCGGAGTTATGTGGAGCTGTTCCATGACTAAACTCAATTTGGACTCTTTGAGAACTGGCTTGTTTGTTACGAGAGCTATTGGCATCAAATGTATGCAAATTAGATTTCCAAACGAGCAACTGTTGAATACAGGAAAATATTTATATTATATGGTTCCGCTAAAGTGCACTACTAATTTTAAATTTTATTAAGAATTTTTGGAAGCTTTGTGGGTATGCATTTTTGTAGCCTATTCAATTTTGTATAATATTGTGCAAGTTTTAATTAAAAGTCAACGGTAGTAGGCTACACGGAAAGTTGTAATGGTTACAAAACTGCATACCCTAAAAGTTTCTAAAAATTCTGTATTTTCGTGAACTTTAAAGTAAAGTTTAAAGTAAAGTTTTATGGCCTTATTCATAAAAATAAAAAAGGTTTATAAACTGAAAAATGTATGAAAGTGTCATTTTATTTAAGCTCTTTAAGCCTACGTTATTTTTTATGAATAAGGCCATTAAACTTATACTTATTTGGTTTATGTTATGTAACAGGCTACACGAAATTTCAGTTTATTTTAAGTGATGGACAAAATTGAATGATAGTAATCCATATAAGCAAAGAAAATTGGGTTGCCAATGGAAGACAAAATTTAAAAAGGGTGTTTTATAAAAAGTATTCGATACTACGAGTACTTTGGAAAGTATCGAGTAAAATCACCAAACAAGGTATCGAGTATTAAAGTACTCATTTTCATACCCTCAGTATCGATACTTACTCAATATCGATAGTATCGTTCGAACCCTATCGGTGTCCAACCTAGTTTTAACGATTGTTTTTGCGAAGAAGAGGAGAAATTCCAAATGTAAAAGTAAACAAAAAGGGGCGCTAGCAAGGAAAAGAGGTTATTAAAGGTATTTTTAATAAAATGTTAAGTTAAAGTTTATTTATTTTGCTTAATATAGTAGAAAGAGGTGATCACGGGGGAAGCAACATAACTTTTCCTTGAGATTTGATTGTTATTCTCACAACAAATTGACGGCTAATAAACTGATATTTGCCTGTGTAAACGGGGTGATTAAAAAACGAGCTTTGATTGAGATAATATTTATATGTGAACATACTTCAACAGGTTGTTTGGCACCTGGAACACTTTTCGGCAAAAAAAAACTGCAAATCGTGAATATCGTCAGCACCTAGAACTACTGCAATGTTTGCTGACTGCAGTTGTAGACAGTATTGCCGCGGCGGTCAGAAGAAATGAATCACCGAAATTCCCTAAAATTAACCAAAAGTATCATGAAAAAAAAATTTTAAGTATCAAAGTATCAATCTTATATAAAACTTCTACTCCTTAAATGAAAATGATAGCTGGTATTTTTAATTGAGATCGTTGACAGTTTTTATTAATTCAACATTTTTTATTGAGCTTGAGGCCGTTTTTAATGAAAAACTTATTGTGGAAAAGCAACAATAATTTGAAAAAATGATAGAATTGATAGCTACTCAGCCAGCTGCCTACGCACTGTGCTAAGTTCGCCTTGTACATTATTGCAGCTTTTTTCCCACTTTTTCATTTGTTAAGCCAACACAATCAAGCACAGCTATTCCGCTGCAATTCACACTTGATCCTGTGGTTGTTGGTTTTGTTGGTCTTTGTTAATACTTCTATTTTTAGAATGTTTAACTTTTAGGTGTGCTCGTCCTTAAGTTATTTGTTTTTGTTATTTTATGGCCTTATAACAATTATATTCAACAATTTTTATTGAGCTTGAGGCCGTTTTTAATGAAAAACTTATTGTGGAAAAGCAACAATAATTTGAAAAAATGATAGAATTGATAGCTACTCAGCCAGCTGCCTACGCACTGTGCTAAGTTCGCCTTGTACATTATTGCAGCTTTTTTCCCACTTTTTCATTTGTTAAGCCAACACAATCAAGCACAGCTATTCCGCTGCAATTCACACTTGATCCTGTGGTTGTTGGTTTTGTTGGTCTTTGTTAATACTTCTATTTTTAGAATGTTTAACTTTTAGGTGTGCTCGTCCTTAAGTTATTTGTTTTTGTTATTTTATGGCCTTATAACAATTATATTCAACAATTTTTATTGAGCTNTTGAGCTTGAGGCCGTTTTTAATGAAAAACTGATTGTGGAAAAGCAACAATAATTTGAAAAAATGTTAGAAATGATAGCTGTTTCGGAAATCACCACATTTCCTCATCAGACTTCTTTCAGTACGATTCGAACCGTCGATCCCACTGGCTCAGACAGTTGTCTACGCACTGTGCTAAGTTCGCCTTGGCAATTATCGCTGCTTTTTCCCCACTTTTTCATTTTCTAAGGCAACACAATCAAGCGCAGCTATTCCGCTGCAATCTACACTTGATCATGTGATTGTTGGTTTTGTTGGTTTTTGTTAATAATTCAATTTTTTGAATGTTTAACTCTTAGGTTCCACAATAAGTTTTTCATTAAAAACGGCCTCGAG